TAGCTGATCTGCCCCGTGCAGACATGAAGAGTTTGGGTTAGCTAATGGTGTTTTATTAAAGGCAGGTAAAAGAGACCAACTTGTCTGATAAACAGAGTAACACAACAAATCTGCCCTTGACTTCCAGTATTCTTAGTTGCATCCCTCTCTTCCGTTTTACTGGTGAGGAAACAGTGACACCTGTTCGGCCTGCCCTGACCAGGCTTTGTCACGGACCTCGGAGGGTAACAAGGTCCTGTCTGCTGTACTGCTCAGCAGGCACCACGAGCTGCTCCAGCTTGCTGCTGTTCTGCATTTCTCTCCCCTTTCCACTGGTGCTGGTTTCAGCAGTGGCTGACTGTTCCCCTGGCCACAGCAGTTTGACCCAGATACCACTGCTTGCTCCAGGCTGTAAGCTTTTTTTCCTATGGTTCATGACACTTTTTTTTTAATAGAAATACCTTTCAAATGCGATAAAAACACCCCATATAAAATAGACATGTTTCAGGCTTGCCTGCCTTTCAGACCTTTCCATTGGTCTCCTCTTCACTCTGCCAAAGATCCAACAGAGCTTCCCCTTGCCTTGGCTCTGAGTTGGAGTCTGCAGAGCAGGAAGCTGTTGCCTTAGAGTCAAGATCAGTTTGCTAGTTTTGGTACTTGGCTGTCCATGAGCTGCTTTTCTTTGTAGTCTGAAGTCTGGGAACTTGGAAAATTCAGTTGAGATGATTAAGCCAATTTTATTTCAGTGGGAATCCACATTCACTATCTAGGCATGACTTTGTGTTGGCTGCTTCTGTGTAGTGACAGATTGCCTCCTGTCCTGCTGCCTCCCCGCTTCACTGGGATACCTGCCCTGGGTGATTCTGGCTACTATGTGCAGTCCTGCCTCCTGCTTGGGTTTTGCAATCCACATCTATCTAAGCAGCTTCTAAATCTGGAGGGAGTGTTTGCCACCTTTTAAAAGCAGGACACTTACCCTGCTCAGAACCAAGCTTGTGTTAGTTAACTGCATTTAAGTATTCTTAGTGATTACTGAGGAGATACAGAACCTGACCCCACTGAGTTTTTGGCTCTGTCACAGCATCCCTACCTATGGGCAGAACACCTGATGGGTAAGGCAGAAGGAATACCTCCTTGAAATGAGAGTATGTAAAACATACATATTCTAAGGGCCATCCCTGAGCTGCAGTGAACTCTCAGAGTGATACAGCCATACCTGGGGCTTTCCAAACTCCAGCAATATTCACTCCATAGAGTTTAGGACCTTGCTTGTTAAAGTGTGTTGCTGCCTTATACAACATAGGCAGAAGCACCTTTGCTGCTGCTGTTTGGGATGGGGGCAATGGGGAGTATGCAAAAAATCACCAAAGGTAAAAGGTGCATGACAGCCTCTAGAGAAATACTGTTTGAATCTTCTGAAAGACAGCGTGGCAAAGCAGCCTCCCGTCAAATTTACCAGTCCCAGCTTGAGACCTAATGCATCAGGCAGCATGCGTAGGCACCACGGTATCATGGCAGAGCCTTGGACTTGTATTACAGCTAGTTCCAATCTTAACAGGAGCTTCTGCAGCATGGTCCTGAGTGGCTTTTAAACTGCTTGTAACTTCTTGGATTTGATATTTTCACCCTGTCTGTTCTTCACGCTTTCCTCCTCTCTGCTGATGTGCCAAAGGCCTGAGAATAAAGACAATTCACTTTCGAAATTGGTGAAGGTGGATCGTTTTGAATTATTTCTGAGTAAATCTGAAAATGCTAGCAACTGAAAAAGGTGAAGCAGTTTAACTTTCAGACTTGACAACATTTGGGGAACAGACTAAGCAATAAAAAATACAGCACGAAGAGGAGTATCCAAGAAGTTATGATCACAAGCTAGAGCCTTGAAACACTCATGCTCGTCAACTTAGAGCAGTTGCTTTAATGCTGCGGCTGTCGAATGAGTGTTTTTGCATCAGTAATATGCAGTTTCTGTCAAAGACTGATTGTAAAGCACCTGCAGAAAGCGTTGGATTCTAATTGATTTCATGTATTTATTTCTGCCTGTATTATGCACCCGTGACGGTTCTTTTCTTCAGAGAATGAGGAGGAGAAGAGTCCAGTGATAGATATGAATGATACATAGAGAGAGAGAGCAACCATGTAAGTTTGTGTGAGATGATCTCCTCAATCTCCCACCCAGCCTAGTATATTAAAGGCTCCTGCACCTGCAGCTTTCTCCTTTTCTTGCTTGAAGGTTGACAGGCTGGTTTGGGGCTCTGCAGCAAGTCCAGCTTCGAATCCTCTGGTGGCAGGTCTTTACCTCCCAGACTGGTCCTGTGTTAAAGACAAACTGTGATCTGTTCAGCATGTGAAGTGCAATTGTTTGGAACAATTATCTGGTGGTTTTGGGGACCGTGATGGGATTGTGCTGGATATTCAGGTTTAGGAAAGACCTGCTTTGTAATTCAGCCTGGCCCTTCTACCACTGTTCAAGCACGTCAACAGCCAAAACTTCGTTTAACCTTGGCAAGATCCCGCTCAGCTGAGCACAGCCCATACTCAGCATGTGGTTTTTTTTCTTCTTGAGTTTACTCCTTCCTGAGTATAGCCCTGAAAAACCCCTGCACGCCAACAACTTAAGAAAGTAGTAACATTTAGTCCCTAAAACCAACCTTGTGTGGATAATTGTTCTTGCTGATAATACTTAAAGAAACTATTTAGGGGCTGGAGGGGTGAGACCGCTGGTTTTGGGGGGCAGTGGGAGCAGGTCTGTGTTTTTCCTTAGTTTCAAACATTGTTTTCCTGAAATTGTGCAAATCAGTAGTACCCAAGACAGCACTGAAAATCGCCCCCTGAAAACTAACATGACTCTTCTGTTTATCAACCCTAATAGCTTTTATCAGGACCTTGACAGAGCAGTTTTTCCTGCGTGTTTCTCTTAGGGAAGAAACCCTAATTTTAGTATCATTTGTCTCTTACCAGATGAAGCTGTGAACTGCTTCTGTTGCTTTTCTGCCATATAGGGACCTCTGAGAATATCTGCACATGCTTGTGTGTGAGAGTGCCTCTGTGTGTGGAAATCTGCTTGGGCATCGTATTCCACAGCTGGGAATCAGCAGGACTTGCAGCCACAAAGACAGGAAACTGCCAGTCACTTCCTTTTAACTGTTCAGTATTTGATAGTGACGTTGGTGCTGTGGTGTCCTTATTGCAGTAAATAATTGTGATGTTTGTGAGTTGGTCTGGGTACCTGCCTCTCATTTAGTGTGCAGTCTTTTATGCATAGCTCTAGAGGAGAAATCGCATAAGGTTTGTTGGGCCACTTCAGATCTGCCCTAAAACTGTCCCACTTTTGCCAGAAAAATGGTTTCCAGTGGTACATGGGCACCAAGCCTCCGCTGCCCTGGCTGCATGGGAGCCTTTGCATCGCCCCACGTCCTTTGGGGCTGCTGAGCCACACAGCCCAAAACTAAGCTTCATCGGAGAGATCACTCACTGCGTGTTGGCCTGATGCTTTCATGCATTTTATCCAAGGATTCTTCGTTGCACAACGCATAGATAGCTTCTGGAGCAGAACCCAGGGATTCTTACTTTTACATGCAGCTAACCCAGTAGGCTACCCAGTTATCCCTCCTCTGTTTTTTTCTCTTTGCCTCCATAAATCTTGCATTTCTGAATGAAAGTGGTTCATCTAGATTCATTCAGATTTTTTTCCAGACTTCTCGGACCTGACTAACACTTGGACTGTCAACACCAGGTGTTGCACCTTGCACGTGCGTGCTGCCAGGAGTTACGGAGAGTGCAGCTGATTCTGCGGTGTTAGTTGGAGGAGTGGACCTTGCAGGCAGAGTGCAGTTGCACAAGGGCCAGGCTGTGCCATCAAGCCCTCTGCAGCATGTCCTGGGCAGCAGCTGGGCTTTCAGCACAGTGCTGTGTATCTGGAGAGTCGTAGAAGTGCCTCTGAAAGCATGTGGAACAAGATTTCCAGGTGAAAATAGAGTGTGAGTTCAGGAAAAATCAGCCATTGTCTTGTTTACTGTAATGAAGAGGGATGGAAAGGAGTTCCATCTGTGTGCCTGTAGCCAGAGAGGTTAGTTCAGGTAAGAGAGAGTCTCGTGGCAGTTTAAAGTGATTGTCACTTTGGGACAGTTTAAAGTGATTGCTGCAAGACAGTAGTTGACTCTCAACTTTCTGGAGTTGGGAGGGGTCATATATTCACATCAAAACAGAGCGTTCTCAAAGTCCTGTTCTCCTGTCTGCTTAGGACCGACTTGACAGGTATTGCACGTGCTGAGTCTGACTCTGGAGAAGAGCTTTCTGCTCGTCTTGTACCAGAAGTGCTTTCTTCCTGCAGCAGAGTGAAGCAACTGGAATACAGCAGCATAACTTCAGCCTGTGAGGGGAGGAGAGGTCACAGCCACCTTGTGTGCTCTTTGTCACCCAGGAGGTGGGGTGCTGAAACAGCAGTAGGGTGATAGAACAGGGCTGCTTTTGCTTTTTGACCCCAGGAAACTTTAACTAAACTAACCCACCGCCCATAAAATAGGACTGCACGGCAGCTGTGGCTGTAATGTGGTGTCTGTGCAGCTGCTCGATTCAGCAGCTTTCTCCAGGCGCAGCGTGGGACCAGGAGCAAAGCACATCCCCTCCTGCCAGTGAGCTACAAACTGCTGCTGTGATTCTCACGCATTTCCTTTGCAGGGCTGATGTCTTGGCTCTTCGGTAACGCTTCCACCCCAGGCAGAGCATCTTGCTGCCAGTGTGTCACTAACTCATCTTCCCTGTCGGAGCTGTGGCTGTTTACAGACCCTTAAAGGGAACGCACTCAACTCTCCCTGATTTAGTGGGAGCCAAGCAGAAAGATGATGACAGCATGATGCTTCAATGTGCCAAGGAAGAGGGTTCTTCCTTAGCACAGCTCCAGCCACTGTCATGTTGTGTTTCAAGGAATGCCAAGATAAGATGTACAGCTGGAAGCTTGGAAGATGATGGTTTGTGAAAGCTGTGTGGAAGAGAAGGCAGTGGGACAAGTGCTCTCCTATGCCTCAGAAACCCAACGCCTCTTCCCTGGTGAACTTTGCGACTTCTTGGGAAAGCTTGCCTTGCCAGATCAGAAATGGTCACTGACCAGACACCTGTACCCAGTGAGAGGAGATCATGGAAAGAAGACTGCTACTGGGAACTGACCTGCCATGAGTATTTTGTGAAGAGGAAACTGAGCCCAGGACTAGGGCACTTCCTGATTTCTAAAAGCCCTTTCCAAAGGAGCAGCACACAGTGCATCGTTTGGGACTGTGGATCCCAGTTAACGTTCTCAAGTGCTCAGGTGACTTAGAAACACACCAGTTGCTGTGTGCCACTTGATCCAAGACTTCTCCATGTCCTGCTCCACATGAACTTTTTCTCCATTATTGATGCCACTGCAGAGCACCAGACTTTTCTTTCTGCCCCTCCTGCAACTAGATCTGATGGATGCTGAGCAGCCTCACAAGGCTCCGAATTTCTGTTCTGACTGTGGCAGATCATGGCCGCTGTTGCAGAAGCCTCTCAGCCAGCCTCGTTGAATGTTTGAAGGTCTGGCAAAGCCCTTGTTCTTATTAGGTTGGGTTTTTTTCTTACTGACCGGCCTTCTGTCCCAGAGTATGCTGGGAGCCCACCAGGCTGCGGCCCAGGCAGCCTGCAGGCATCTGTGGATGCATCAGTATCTGCCCATCTGTGCTCTCAGGAGATGCTTCACTTACAGTGTCTTCAGCTGTGAAACAGCATCTTTCATCAAGTCCTCAGTGGGGCTTTTCTGCTGTCCTATTCGTAGCCTAAAGTTAAGGAATTTTATGATGTCTGAGCTCAGGCAGGATCTGGGTAGTGGGTAGAAAAGAGTTTAAGTCCGCTGGAAACTTCCTAACTGAGTCTGCAACTGCACAGAGGAGCTGAGCCTTGCAGAGTGAGGGACAGACTGGTGGGGAGAAGGCAGGGTTGTCTGACTGAGGTTTATGTTGGCATGATGTCCTTCATCAGCTCTAACTTCTGCTTTTTCTTTTGTTTTCTCTTTTTCCCACTCAGTTAAATCCAGATGGGTCTGTTGATCAGAGCGACTCCTCACCAATTCCTACTCTACCACCTTCCTGCCTTGCCATGGGCGAGCAGTGTCCACAACAGGCATCGCTGGCCGTTCTCAAATGCGGTGATGTACCTGGTCAGAGTAAAAAGAAGAGAGGCTTCTTCTTCAAAGGAAAAAAGCTCTTCAGAAAACTTGGGTCCAGTAAGAAAAATTAACAAGGGATTTATTGTTCTGTTAAGACTGCCTGTGCAGTCCAAACAGGGACTAAAAATTCAGGAGAAGCCCTCTGCAATAAGCTGATTAGAGTATTTTCATAGGGACAAAGTGTATATTGAATAGAGAAAACTCTTCAGTGGGTCTGTGAGCTGTGGTCTCTGCTGAGAGCCCAGCCATGGGTGCCCACCCAGCATGGGCAGTGGCTCCGAACAGTGTCATGGCACTGGGGGGTGTGAGGCCTCAGCTCTGGGATACAGCTACCTCCAGAGTGGCGTGTCCTGCTCCATGCAGCCCTCAATGCACTGGTTCCCTGTAAATATTTTAGTTTAAAAATTATATTCTGGCTGTAAGTTAGCTAAATGGCTTTTCCCAGCAAAGCCCTGGCCCCTTAGGAAGAGCTCCCATGTCCTACACACCCTGGTGTTCCTCTGGTCCGAAGGAGGTTGTGTCACCTCCTCCACTTCCTGCAAAGAAAACTTGCACTTTTCTGTTCCCGTGAATCCCCTTTGCTGTCTGTGGGCTGACGAGTGAGTTATTTGTACTGTAAACCTGTAAATACGCGGCTGTGCCTAGGAGCATCCCACACTGCCTCAGTCACGTCTCGGCACGAGGATTCCCATGGTGGAAGGAGCGATACCCTGAAGGGCATCGGTACTTCTGCCTGTAGCGTGGGCTGAAAAAAAAACTGGTTCACCTTGACCACACACTGGCTGGGGACTCCGCCTTATTTATTGATTGATTTATTTATTTCTCTATCTATCTATTTATTTATTTTTTCGTCTGCCTCTTTCGCGGTTTTATTTGGCTGTTTCGGTGGGCTGCTCCTCAGCTGGAGCATTTGGAGAGCAGAGCTGGGGATGGAGAGTTTGCAGCTATTTTCATACGAGATGATGTGTTCCTTGAGTTAAGACACATCCCTTTCTAAGCCACGGAGAGTTTTGTACTACATGGTTTCTATCCTTTTCAGTGTTTCTTTCTTTGCATGTTTCAGTGAGGTACCTGTTTTGAGAAGGACAGTTATGTGAGGTTTGTGAATGATGCCAGCACAGTGTCCACGAGTGTTGGTGATACGGTATGTTTTTATTTAATATCAAATTTTATTATAATAAAGTCTATTTTCACAAAAATACATTTTCCTTAAAAAAGCAAAAGGTTCACTGATCTTTCTTCTGGGAGGTGGGGGCAGAGGGGAGAGTGATACCAATTGCTTGCAGCTTGAGGATGCTCCGCAGCACTTCCTATAGGACCCTGCCTATCCTGGGATCATGATGCAAGTTACCTTCCATGGGAGTGGAAAGTCTTGACCTCTCTTGTTTCAGAGACCTAATCCTGGAGGAGGAAGCACTGAGGTGTGGTTACACGGTGTTCTACTGCGCCTGAGCGCAGTCATACCGTGTCCAGACCTCAGCTGGACGCATACTTAGCCCTGCTGCACTGCCTGGGTGCTTTGTGCAACATTAGTCCCTGGGTCTGGGCACTGCACCCCTTCTCTGGGGGTGCCACTGAGCCCAGGGGGCCCTGCACAGCCACATTTCAAGAGACAAAGCATCTCTTAAACCCTCCCACTTTCGTGGTTTCTGAAGCAGAACTCTGCCTGCATGCTCAACGTCGCTGCCCAGGCTCCCTGGCAAGCTACTGGCCTGCAGCGCCAGCGGTGAGCCCTTCCCCTGTTCTGTTCCCCCGTAGTCCCAGAGCAGAGTGTTCCCAGCAGCGTGTGAGGTCCCCGGGGCTGCAGGCGGCTCCTTTTCCATGTGCCACTGCAAGGACCTCCCAGGCAGCACCTTCACTCATGGGGAGCGTTGCATGGGGACGGGGACACCTCCTGAGCTCCGTAACAGGTGCCATCAGCATTGTGGGCACTGACCTTTCCAGTGCATGGTGAGATTCACGGCTGCTTGGTTTTCTTCACTTCTTGCATCTCTTCGCAGGGTTGAAGGCAGAAACCTTCCTGGGGTTGCTGGTGTTTCCCAGCCTGTTCCAGGCATCCGTGTCTTCCTCCTACGGTATTGTCCTTTCCTCAGGTTTTGCAGATCAGGGGCTTCTATGTTCTGAGCAGGAGAAATAACAAAGTTAAGTCTAGGAGAACCTGAATTTTTCTCCTGTAAGCAGTGAAGTCCTGAAGAGGTGTGAGAAGGAGCGAAGTCAGTTTGTATCTACCGTGGCAGCAATCCTGGCTGTTTGGCGTTTGTAGCATTAACTTCCTATCTGGTTTCCTAAAATCACATTAAAGGAGAGGTCACTTGTCAGACCCGCTCTGTCCTCACGGTACAACGGTCCTCCCTGCCCGCACGCTGTGCAAAGCAGCAGGAGCCTCTCCCAGGAGAGCGTGGTTCAGCCCTGGGGCTGCGGTGCCGGCAGCTCCCTGACTGCGTTCCTGTTATATGGAGGCTGGAAACAGAACTCCCGACTTCTCGGGGGAACTGGGTCCTGCTCCCAGAGGGAGCCGTATTGCTTGGCTCTCGTTCCTCATGGACATCCCAGGGAGGACTGGAGCCAGCACAGGCTCCTGCTGATTTCTGGTGGTTCACCACCCATGGAGGGAGCAAAGGCTGCAGTGAGGACATTTTGTGGGATCTGACAGGAGAGCACAGCTTTTGCCACCATGGTTTAGGAGCGTACGGCTTCCCACCAGCCCATGCACATCCTCCTTCAGCAGCCATCCTCTCAAACCCCTTGCTAGCTCAGGGCCATGTGAGAGGAGGCTCCAGCAGCATTAAGACAGGGTGACTTGGAGATATTGGGCACTTCTGGATGATATTTCAGAGTTGGAGAGCAGTTGAGTGAGGTTTGGTTGGCTCAAGGATGTAAAGACCTAAGATTTGTCTTCTGGCAGGTAGAGTTAGGCAATAAGATATTCCCTTCCTGCGACTCTGCTCCTCTGCCAAGGGTGGCAGGAGCACCCTGGTCTCCTCCAGCTACTGTGCAAGGAGATGGATGACTCTGCCTTTGATTGCAATTAGACTGGTAACAGGCCAGGAGAGCTGGGGTGCCCAATGCTCAGGTGTGTAACCTGCAGGACTCTTGGCTTTGCCCCGTTTCAGTCCTGCAGATTTTGTTTTACTTGCAATGTAAAGGAGCACCTGCAGAATGATGCCTTGACCTCGACAGAGCTCCTGGGATACTTCAAAGAGTCGGTTGTGGGGAGTTGAGCTGCCCTTTGAGCTACAGATTACATGGAAACTGCCCTGACCCTCCTCAAGGACAAGCTTTGATGGGCTGTGAGGGGGGACTTCAACAACACAGGTGAGGATCTTGCTTTGCTGGGAGGAAAGCAGAGGAGGAACATATGAAGTTTGGTCACTGGGGCTTTGTGGGGCTTGAGAGGAGGGAATGACTGGGGGTTATGATCTGCACAAGTACAGGCTGGGTGGAGAATGGATTGAGAACAGTCCTGAGGAGAAGGACTTGGGGGTGTTGGGTGATGAGAAGCTCACCATGAGCCAGCAATGTGCGCTGGCACTGGCTGCCCAGAAAGCCAACCGTGTCCTGGGCTGCATCCAAAGCAGCGTGGGCAGCACGTCGAGGGAGAGGATCACTGGCGAATGCAACAACACGTGAGGGGGCTGTGTCAACAGGAGGGTGGATGGATCTTCCGTTAGTAGAGCTACACGTACATCCCCAAGGATGATCCATTTAGGCTGCCGCCTTTAGGGTTTTACACCACACAGTGTTGTTTCCTAGTGTGTGGGGATTTTGATTACACTCTTGCTTCAAGGGTTCTTGGTGTTGTACATGAAGTAGGTCTTTGACCAAAATGCAAATAGCTCTGTGCTGGGGACCGACCCTCCAGCCCAGGGTCTCTGTCATCAGGTTGCATCTTTCTGCCTTCTCCTGGACTTTGTCTGGCTCTGCCCCTTTGCAGGGTCTCAAAGTGCTTCCTGATCCAAACCCACACAGGAGCACGATCTCGCCATCTCCATGCCCCACATTGGGCCTAGGAGGAAATCTGGGCACACGGGCTGGGTGAAAGCACCTTGTGCATGTCCCATGGTTGGACAAATGGAGGGGCAAGACTGTCATGTGGGACATAAAAACTATTTCTCAGTGTATCCAGAGCTTTCCTAGTGTAATGAAAGGGAGGTTGTGCTAACAGTGGAGTGTTTTAAAAAGGGACAGTATGGAAGCATTCCCTATCCCTGCCCTATTTCCAAGAACCCAGTAGGCAGAACATCTCCTGGGAGCATCACAGGCACAAGAAGAAGTTCAGGCAGGTCTGCCTGCCTGGGGGATGCTTTAGCCTTCAGGTATCTCTGCAAGAAGCATGGAGAGAGCTACCTACCTCCTTCTAAATTCAGAAAGTGGTGTCTTCATTCAGGAGGGTGGTCTGAGCTCTGGAGAGTGGACAGGTCCATCACACCTCAAGCAGACCCTGAAGCCCTGGAGAAGGTGAGCTCAGCTGTGCCCTGTGCCTTGCAGAGGAGTGGGACAGGCAGATGTGTCAAGTGTTTCCCGGGGGTGGGCTCCCAGCCTCCAGGACTCTGTGGCTCCGGGGCTGCTGGAGCCGTCACTGTTCCATAGCTGGGTACGCAGCCATCAATGAATTTATAGTGAACGGTTCAGGCTGGCTCAGAAGCTCCTTTGAAAATTCAGTGCCTTGTTTGTGACTTTTCCGGTCCCTGAGAACTGGGGAAATTTTACATGTGCAATTGCCTAACAGGGGTCAGTGATTTCCTACTGGAGCTCTGTTGGAAGCCCCGGGGTGGATACATTCTGCTCAAGGAAAGCTCACAGTGCGGCTTTTGTTTCTTCTTCCGCAGTGTCTCACAGCCAGCCTTTGACAGGGCATGAAAAGGGCTCTGTGCTGGGTGCGGGAGCTAATCCCTCTATTTACTGTGGGACCAGGGGACTAAATACGACATATTTACTTTTCTCTGAGTGCCTCTTTATGCTCCCATCACCTGCCTGCTCTTGGGTTTCCTGCCTTAGATGTTTGAAGAAGGATTTAATGTTTCATTGTGATGCCGTTTGTAATTTATTCCTTCAAGTTGTGACTCAATTTGCTTTTACTTTTACTCGCCAGAGAGCTTGATTGTGACTGTTATCTTGCTTTGGCCGTAGCTTCAGCTGGTTTGAAGGATGCCTTCTCACTTTCAGAGCTCCCTTGGCCATGCTGACTTCCCTCTGCCCATTTTCATTTCTCTCTTGAGCTGTGAGAGAGTCTCTCTGATATGGGAGCCTGGAGAACATCTACTTGTATTTAGCTTCTTAAGTTAATGCTCCTGGCCCTTATTTGAAATAAAACTTGCCCATCAGACTGTGATGCTGAGCACAGCCATGGTGGCATCTTGGCTTTTGCTGCCTCAGTAGAAATTTGGCTTTTCACTGATGCTCTCCAACTCGTGGGGCCCAGACCTTCTCCTTCTCCTCCTGGGTTTTTCTTACCCATCATTTTCACAATGCAGATATCGAGACATCTAAAAATTTCTCTGTGCATGGTTCCCAATATGACATTCGCCTCCTTCCAGCGGGAAGCAGCCAAGCACACTCAGGTCTCTGGCGGTACAAGTCTGCTCACTTGTGATCCTCCTGCGTGATTCTGGATCTTGGAGCTGGTGCGTGCACACGTGATCCTTGTGCAGGAGCACAACTGCCCGGCCAGAGGGCTGAAGAGACTAAATTCCCACTGGAACGGAGAGAAGCTCTACCAGGAGGCACAAGAGATCCCAGCTGCCATGATCTGGGTACCAGCCACCGTGTCGTATGTCCTGTCTCTGCTGCCTTGTCTTGCAGTCTCACAGAATTAACGTGAGGGGCTTTGTTAGTGTGGGGTGTCCAAAGAGTGCAGTATTTTGGGGTGCAAATGACCAAATTCTTTGCACCAGCCCCTTTTGTCCAAAGCAAAAATCATACAGAGATACCTGAAATAACAAGCACAGAGTTGAATCTTTGATGTCCCTCTAGTGTTACATTTCCAAATTGCTTGATAGGTATTTAACTGCATGTTTTTGTTTGAGAAACGCGGGGACAGAAAAGTCAGAGGAAAAGTGTTTCTAATCAGTGTTTTGTACAAGATAAAAATGGTACTGGAGACTGGATAAAAATTCTTCTGGTTTGTGCATCTCCTCAAGAAGCCCCATGTGCTGGTGGGTGCAACCAGTCATGGCGTTCCTCTGTCCTTACTGCTTTGGGGCAAAGAG